AAGATTCTGAATACCTCAACTTTAGACAATGCATAAAACCAGACGATGATATAAGCCCATAAACACAGCATTTGTGAGACTGAAGCAGAAGGACTGCTGTGAGTTTCAGGCCAGCCTGGGATACATAATTAATGGCCAACCTGAACGACATAAGGAGCCCTTGTCTCAAAAAATAAACAAAAAAACCCAACAACTAGTTTTGAGAATTTAATTTGATTCAGTGCCCCTGTTTGAACTCAGCGTTTTATAATACCATGGATATTGAAAGCTCAGTAATAGTAAAAAATGAATAAGAAAAGCTGGGCATTGTGCTGCATACCTATATTTTTTGGTTTTTGTTTTGGTACCAGGGATCGAACTCAGGACCTTGCGCTGGCCAGGCAGGCACTTGTGCCCCTGAGCTATTTCCCCAGCATTGCATGCCTGTAATCCCAGCATAATCCTAGCACTCTGGGAGGCTGAGGCAGGAGGATCAGTGGGGAAATTTAGTGGGACCATGTCTCTGAATTTTTTAAAAATGGGAGAATGGGGATGTAGCTCAGTGAGAAAGCCCTGGGTTCAATCCCCAGTACTGCCCGCCCCCCCCCCAAAAAAGTAGGAAAAATGTTTTTGTCATCTCCTTTCTTCCCTGTTGGTGATGGAAGCAGTCTTGCTTTATGATTCTATAGGTATCTAAACTGATACATACATATAGGAGAAAGGAGACTGACGAGAATTAATCATATATGCCAGACACTGTGGCACACACCTGTAACCCTAATACTCAAGAGGCTGAGGTAGGAGAATTGCTCTGAGTTTGAGGATAGCCTGGGCCACACAGTGAGTTCAAGACCAGCCTAAACTACATAGCAAGACTCTGTCTCAAAAAATATTAATCACATATAGTCACATCTCAAAGGGTAAAGGCCACCACATACCGCAGAATGGTTCCACTTGGGGACAGAGTAAAGCAGCAGGGGTTGTAAGAGGTCAGGTTCTAAAATAACAAGAGGATAAGGTGTCCTTCGGTTCCCATGTGAGGATGCAAATGTCTTCCTTCACTGGTTTCACAGGCTGACAGGAGGAACCCCTATTAGGTCAAGGGCCAAGTAGGACAAGGGAAACTAACTGGTTGAAAGTGCTTCTTACTGGATGGAGGCTTATCAGGTGACAGCAAGGAAGTTACGGTTAGTCATTTAAGACCCTGAAGGGAGGCTCAAAGTTACCAGGACATTTCCAAAAAAAAAAGAGTACCAGGATAACACATAAAATTTTAGTTTTTACAGTATAGAAGGAAAAAAGAAGCAATGTGCAATAGTTATGTCTCGGCAATTTCCTTATAAAAATTAATAATATGAAAATATGGAAATAGAAAACAAAAGACAAATCATAATACACTTCTACAATAATAGCCAGTATGAGTATTTTAATATGTGGATTTTAAGGGTTTCTTTTTGGTACTGAGGATTAAACCCAGTGCCTTCGCACTGAGCTACAGTCCCAGTTTAGACTTGTGATCCTGCTCCAGCCTCCCAGAGTGTTGGGATTATAGGTATGCACCACCACGACTTATTGCATATTTTGATGTGCACTACTGCTTAATATGTAGTAAGTCCATAACAAAAGTTTATTGGCTACATATAGTACAGATGATTATTTTTTCCTAATATTGGGGATTGAACCAAGAAGCACACTATCACTGAAGTACATTCACAGCCCATTTTTCTGGGGGGGTGCTTCTAGCTAAGTTACCTGGGTTGGCCTCAAACTTGCCGTCCACCTACCTCAGCCTCCTAAAAAACTAGGATTACAAGCACATGCCATCGTGTTTGGCTATACTAATTTTAATCATTTTAAAATTATTTATTTTGCAATACTGGGGATTAAACCCAGGGTCTTCACACAGAGGAACAGCCCCAGCCCTTTCATTTTTTAATTTTGAATCAAGGTCTCGCTAAATTATTAACTTGTTGATGCTAGGCTCAAACTTGTGATCCTTCTTCATGCTCCCAGAGTGTTACAATTACAGGCATGTGCCACTATACTCAGCTTTAATCATTATTTTAGAGAATGCTCCTTCTACTTAAAGTTTAAACCAGAAGTGGTGGTACATTACTGCAATCTCACCTACTTGGGAAGCCAAAACTGGGGGACTGCAAGTTTGAGGCCAGCCTGAAGAACATAGCCAAACCCTGCCTGAAAACAAAGGGCTAAATAGTGTTTGCCTCGCACAAGCAAGGCCCTGGGTTCAACCCCAGAAGAGAAGAAAAAAATAAAGAGTTAACTGCAAAAGATATAAAAGATAGGCAGGTCCTTCATGAGGCATTCAAGAAGGCATGGTTATCATAGATGACAGTCCATGCATATTATTACCCCTGATCCAACCGGTCAAAATGTGGAGGTAGAAGACAGAACTACTGATGATCCTAACCTTATGTAGACCAGGTTAAGGTGTATGTTTATATCTTAGTATTTAACAAAAGCATTTAAAAAGTAAAAAAAAAAAAAATTAAATGCTTATATGAAGACATATAAAAATATTTTGTACAGTTGTACAACATGTGTGTTTTAAACTGCTATTATAGCCATGCTTGGTGGCACATGCCTAGCACTTGGGAGGCTGAAGCATGAGGATCACTGCAAATTCTAGGCAAGCCTGAGCTACATAGTGAATGCAAGGCCAGCCTGAAGTATATAGCAAGATTGTCTCAACCTAAATAAAACAAAACAAAACAAAACCTATTACAAAAAAGTTAAATGAAAAAATTTAATTCTATATAAAGGTTAATTTATTATTAAAGAAAGGCTCCTGTCAGGGTAAATGCACTATACAAGTATACCACTTCAAAATCATTTATACCTTATTTTTACTGTGCCTTTTCTGTCTAGGTATGTTTAGAAACACAGATACTTACCATTAGGTTATAACTGCCTACAGTATTCAGGATAGTAATATACAAGTTTGTAGCCTAGGAGTAGTAAGTGCTATCATATAACCTAGTGTGTTGTAGGCTGTATCATCTAAATTTGTGTAGATACACTATATGACATTCACACAATGCTGAAACCCCCTAACAATTCAGGTCTCAGAATGTATCCCTGTTGTTAAGCAATGCATGACTGTATTTTAAATCATCACTAAATTACATATAATACCTAATACAATGCAAATGTGTAAATAATTGTTATACACATTTTAGGGAATAATAGCAGTCTATACATGTTTAGTACAATCACGTTTTTCTCAAATACTATCATCTAAGGTTAAATGTGCAAATATGAACCCCATGGACATGGACACCTGACCATGTTATTATTTCAACTTGTCTTTGTTCAAAAATTTTTAATTACAAATGAAATTAAATTGCAAAATGGATATAGTTTGTCTACTTCGCGTGTATGTGCATTTGTGGTTTCTGGGGATCAAACTCAGGGCTTCGTACATGCTACGCAAGTGCTCTACCACAGACCTATACCTTTGGGTCCCCTTTAGCTAATTTCTAGTCAATTCACTGGGTAATTTAAATTTTTTCATATATTCTAAAGCTATAAATCTAAATTTCATTCAAAAATTTAAAAATTGGATTCAGTTTAAGAAATGTGAATAAAGATACTCTGAGTGTTTCACATTCTACTAGAGTTATTATGGAAGAATAATTCAAATTCAAAAAAGGACAGTTGCAGGAAATTTTTCTAAATTCATTTGATCTCGTAAGAGCTCTCTAGCAATAAAAAATAATAAAATTAGAACTTGTAGCCAATGTGCATTGAACATAAACTATACGCTAAACAAATTCCTGTTTTCCCCATACATGAATTGATTTAATTCTAATCACACTGTAACACAGGATTATTATTATTTCTTTATCCAAGTTGAATCAGGTTTAAGGCATGATTAGTACCATAAATCAATGAGACATAAGACGTGGAAGTGCACTCATGATGATTCAGATAGAAACAAATAAATGGTAAACACTCTCCTGCTGTTAGATTAGCAGGGGTTTTCTGTGAAGTGACTCAAGTTTAATAAGTGATTTTTGCTGGAAGGCTTTTATACATAAAACACACAAAAAAGGATTTCATACATTCTCTTAATTTTCCTTCAGTACAAATAATCTACTAATCCATAAAGAGTATTAGGAAAAGCAATCTCATTCATGCAGTCTTTCAACTTCTGCACAGTCACTTTAGACTGGGCTTGGGCCCTGGAATACTTCCTTAACAAGAGATAAAAAAGGTCCTGAAAATCTGTTGAGCTTAGGAACTTGTGTGGGAATGTCTTTTCCTGTTTCTGACTCAATGTGTACTTCTTTGTGGTACTTAAGCAGCAATAACCCTGAAGCACACTCATAGAATTCTATATTTCATACCCTATCGTAGAGGGAGGCTGAGGTCCTGCCACAACAGCACAGTGGAATGTGTACAGCTATATCATGTGTGTCAGCTTCACAGTGGTTCTGAAGGCCAAGGCTAGTGACACATTGCAAGAAGCAGGACCTTATGTTCTCTCTTTCCTGTTTTGAGTAAATGTTATACCACCTAAGCCTGGTGTATTTGCTGTCTTCTACAACTTCAAGGTATTAAGTCTCTTTCCTGGCACTTACTTGCTTTCTAACCTTGACTACACAGCTTGGCCACCCAGTAAACCCCAAACACAAAAGGATACCATAAAATAAAACTCTTCTATAAAGTCCACGAATCTGAACATTTGGGGCATAACTAAAAATTTTAAACATTATTAACCTCCCAAAGAGTACATACCAGTATATATTATTTGATTTCTTTATAAAAACTGAAGCACATGTAAAAGCCTTCTCACATTCTCTTCCAACTATTTCTCAGTGGTATAAATTCAGTGATATACTGTACACTATCTTTTTATATATGTATGCCATAAAGTCTCTCACCAGTATGAATTCTTTGATGTACTTTAAGAGTTGAACTTAGCCTAAAAGACTTCCCACATTTGTTACATGCAAAGGGTTTCTCACCAGTATGAACACTTTCATGTACTTTAAGGCCTGAACTGAGCCTAAAGGATTTCTTGCATTTGCTACACTGGAAGGGCTTCTCACCACTGTGGATACTCTGATGTTGAGTAAGACGTCCATAGACACAAAAGGCTTTCCCACATTCCTTGCATTCATAGGGTTTCTCACCAGTATGAAGTCTATGGTGTATAGTACGCTGGTGACTACTGCTAAAAGCTCTCCCACACTCTTCACATTCATAGGGTTTCTCACCAGTATGAGTTCTGTCATGTCGAATGAGATGTGAGGGGTGACTAAAGGCCTTCCCACATTCTTTACATTCAAAGGGTTTTTCACCAGTATGAATTCTAGCATGTTGTACTAGGTTTGAGGCTTGACTGAATGCCTTTCCACATTCCCTACACTCATAGGGTTTCTCACCAGTATGAATTCTTTGATGTATTCTCAATCTTCCAACTTCACTAAAGGCCTTCCCACATTCATGACACACATAGGATTTCTCTCCAGTATGAACTTTTTCATGTTGAGTCAGGTGTGAGGCACGACTAAAGGCCTTTCCACAATCTTCACATCGATAGGGCTTCTCACCAGTGTGAATTCTCTGATGTACTCTAAGGTCTGAAGGACGACTAAAGGCTTTCCCACATTCCTTACATTTATAAGGTTTCTCACCGGTGTGCATCATCTGATGTAGTCTAAGGTGTGTAGGACGACTAAAGGCCTTCCCACATTCTTTACATTCATAAGGTTTCTCTCCATACTGATTTCTCTGATGTAGAGTAAGAGATGAATCTTTTCTATAAATGTACATCCTTCCATAGTTGATCATTTCATAACTTGACTCCAAATCTACAAGAAACAAGAAAAGAAAAACATCTGGTTTCCTTGACCAGAAAAAGTAAATGTACTATGGCATAAGTGAGAGAAAATGGAAGATCTCACCATTAGAGAGTATAAAGTACTCCAGAACACAGTTATAAGGACAGAATTTTAAGGGAGACGGTAGAGTAGATAGTGCCAGGAAACTATCTTCCCAGGTAGATAACAACTGCATAAGTTTTATGATGCAACCATTTTAAACTCTGAGTTATAATTAAAGGCTATAACTTCTCAAGAAAAACATGGAAGATAAGTCACAGTTCATTTTCATCAAATTTTCTTTACCTTAAAGCAGCTATCCATCCTACCTCCCCACTACGTCTATGTTCCTGGAACAGCTTGTTTTCCATTTGTGTGCAGCTTTCCATAAGACCTGAGAAGACCCTAAACTCACAACTCACAGTAATCCTTGGCATAGACAGCCTACAACAAACAACAACAATAACAAAATCAGCATACCTTAAGGGGAGAATATAATTACCAGAGTTACACAATAATAGACCTATATATTCAGTTTTCAACAACAAAAATCAGAAGGTATAAGGAAACAGGAAAAGTTTAGGCTACATAAAGTGAAAATAAATAATAGAAATGATCCCTGATGAACACCGGGTAGTGGTCGCACTAGAAACAAGTTTGTAAAACCACATTTTTTTTCTTTTTTTTTTTGTAGTACTCAGGATCTTTATTATTGTGAACTTAAGACCCTGTTGTATGTTAAGCATGTACTCTATCATTACGCTACATCTCCAACCCACACTGTCTTGAAAATGCTCAAAGAACTAAAGGAAGATGTGTAAAAAGTCAAGAACGTGATGTATGAAGAAGCCGGAATTATGATTAAGGAGAGAGAAAACTTAAATGACAAAAAAGAAATTCCAGAAGGAACTTAAGAAATACAGTAACTGAAATGTTTATTAGCAGGATTCAAAGACAAATTTAAACAGGAAGAAGGAAGAATCAATGGACTTGAAAAAAGTACAACTAAAATCATTACATAGGGCCAGTGATATAGTTCAGCAGCACAGTGCCTACCCTGGCAAGTGCAACGTCCCGAGTTCAATTCCTGGTACCAAAAATAAATAAATAAATAAATAAATAAATAAATACATATAAAGAACAAAAATTAAAAAGCAGAGCCTAAAGGACCTGTGGATCTCCACCAAGCAGACCAACCACAGCAGAAATTCCAGAAGGAAAAAAAAAATGTGCAAAGTAATTATTAGAAGAAATAAAACTCAAAGTCTTTAAAAATTTGATGAAAGAGATATGAATGTAAACACCCAAGAAATTTAATGAATTCCAAGTAGAATAAACTCAGAGATTCATACCTGAACATACTATAGCTCCTGAGGGGTTGGGGTAGAATGGTAGAGTACTTGCCTATTATGTGCAAAACCCTGGGTTTAGTCCCAACACTGAAAACAAAATCTTGCAAGCAGTTAAGGAAAAGCAACTGCTCACATACAAAGACTTCCCCCTATGACTACCAATAGGTTTCTCATTATAAAGTTTGGAGGTCACAAGGTAATAGGCTGACATAGTCAAAGGGCTGAAAGAAAAAAAAAAAAAAACACTTTCAACCAAGAATCTCATTTGGCAAAACTTTTACGATTTAATAATTTCTGCAAAAGGCAATTAAATCAGGCATGGTGGGACATACCTATAATCCCAGCACTCAGGAGGCTAAGGCAGGAGAACTGCCTCAAGTTCAAGGCCAGTCTGGGTTACACAATGGGTTCAAGGCTAGCCTGAATCTCATAGTGAGACTCTGTCTCAAAAAACAAAATAAAACAAAATTTTTAAAAACCTCAGATAAACATAATAAGGGATTTACTCAGGAAGCTAGTTAATAAGAGAACTACGGTAGGAGTCTATTTAAGGTTACTGCTTCTCAGTCAGGGGCTGGAACTTCAAGTTAGGAGGGGTAGAAGTTCAGCAACACTGACTGTGAAGTAAGAGAAATAAAGGACAAACAGTCTTGGAAAATGAGTGGAATCCAGGAAGTTAGACTGGAACCTGTACTGTTAAGAACTGTTGAGAGTACACTGAAGTGTCCTCAAGCCTCCCTGCTGATGATAGGGAGGGTCTGCAGGAAAAGCTGGGATCTTTTCTTTTTCCTCAAATAGAAGTAGCTATTCAAAAACTTACAGAGGCTGAAGGAGGAAGATCTAGCAGGAATAGGGAAACTGGGTTCAGCTGCTGACCATGCTCACAAGCATGGCCTGGGGCCGAGTGACAATATGAATGAGCTGCAATACAATGTATTGGCCTGTATTGACGTTCCTAGCATAATACAGTTTCTGCTTCATGTTTACCTTGTCAATCTCACTCAAAATTTCACTGGCTGGCTAAGGAACTACATAGAAAGGGAAATACAGAAAAATGCTCCAGCTCAGCGGGGTTGACATAAGAAAAGTCCACTACAACAGCATCTAGAAAGGCCAGCTATAATACAGACAAAGGTTTCTAATGACTTAGAACTGAATAGCAAAAGAAACAATAATATACTAGTAGGATTTACATCACTAGGAAAAGAATATGACAACTGTTGCACAAAAAGCAATGAAGAGGAGATAGAGACAGACTGCTTTAAGGGCCAAATATGTAACATATATTAATCCTGGCCAGGTGTGATAGCTCACTTCTATAATCCCAGCTACCTGGGAGGCTGAGGATAGTAAATTTGAGACCAGCCTGGAAAACTTAATCAGAACATTGAGGCAGCCACGACAGTACAGCTAAAGACACTCACACCTGGGTGTGGTGGCACATGCCTGTAATCCCAGCACTCAGGAGGCTAACACAGGAGGATCAGCACAAGTTTAAGGCCAGCCTGAACTACATAGCAAGACTCTGTTTCAAAAAAACAAACAACAGGGGCTGGGGATTTAGCTCAGCGGCAAAAGCGCCTGCCTGGCAAGCGCAAGGTCGTGAGTTCGGTTCCCGGTACCAGAGAAAAACCAAAAAACCAAACAAACACACAAACAAAAAAAACCAAACAAACAAAAAAAAAACAAACAACAACAACAAAAACACTCCTGAAAGAAGACTTCCAGAACTGCTTCAGAGAGTGGAAAGGATAATGAAGTAAGTGTTTGGAGTGAGGGGACTATCGTGAGGGTGATTAATAGCAATGTCTTACTGTAATAAAAAATTTTAAAATTTAAACAGTCAACATACATTTTAATCAGCCAGGCATGGCAGCACATGCCTGTAATCCCAGTACTGAAAAAGGCTGAATTAGAAGGATCTCAAATTTGAGAAAGTCTAATCTGGTAAAAATGACTACAGAAAACTCCAGGTCAAATCTCATATAGGAAAGTGATGAAAGTGAATGAGACAAATTAAACACACATCAAACAAATGCTTCAAAGAGAAAAACTGTAACACTGTTAAAACAAACAGGAAAGTATATAAAAGTGAATAACTTAATTCCTATTTCCTTAATCAAGATTTCTGCAATGTTTCAACATTAAAAAAAGTATATATACACACACACACACACACACACATATATATATATATATATATATTTTTAATGTGCTGGGGACCAAACTCCTGGCCTTGTGCATATAAGGCAAGAGCCGTACCATTGAGTCACACCCCCAGCCCAAAAAATTTGTATCTTTTTTAAAGGTTAATCCTAAAAAGATTAAACATTGGGGCTGGGAGTGTAGTTCAGTGTACAGCACATGCCTAGCATGCATAAGGCTGTGGGTTCAATTCCCAATACCAATAGAACAAAAAGTCCTACATCAGTGCTGGGCATGGTGACACCCATCTATAGCAACAGCTATTTGCCTGAGTTCAGGAATTCAAGACCAGCATGGACAACACAGTGTAACTCTATCTCAAGGGGTAAAATAATAATAATAATAATAATAATAATAATAATAAACTACATTATCAGATAATGGATTAGATTTCAGAAACAATCCTATTCCTTTACATTAATGCACATCATACTAAACCTGATCCCTCCTAGTATGTTTCATATCCCATCAGATATTCTCACTAACTCTGCTCTGATCTAACAGTTATTATCAAACACACAAATCTCCTGGGTAATCATGACTATGGAGGAACAAGAAAACAGCCTGTTGCTAGACACAGGTGCAAGTCTCTCGGTCCTTCTTTTCAATCCTGGCCTTCCTTCCAGCCATCATACCTCAGTGAAAGGAGTCACTGGTGAGGAGGTAATATGCTATTTTTGACAACCCTTAGGCTGTAACTCCTTAATAGGTCCCTCTTGCATATCTCTGTCTTCCTGAGAAACCACTCTGAAGATACCACCACGTATTACAGCAGCCATTGATATTTTCCTACTAATCTATCCATAACTGTGTAAAGTTTGTAATGTTCCTATCCTATTTCATAAATGGATGTATGTTTATTATTATGTGTTTCCTACAACCACCATTGAGAAGAGTTAATGATTTTTCAGTAGGTCACTCATGTATAGCTCTATTTATTTTCTTTAGAAGCCACTTTGAAGATACCAAAGTATAGTACAACAACTCTTGATAATCTCCTACCTCTTTTGTCTGTAACTCACTATTATTTGTCTATTTGTTTTCCTGAGAAACTATTTTGTAGACAATAATATGTAAAATGATAACCATTGATAATTTCCTACCATTTTGTGTGTAATTTGCTAAGTCCCCCCTATTATTATGTTATCCTTCTTTTATTCTTTAAAAAAAAAAAAAAAACAAAAAAAAACACACACAAATCTCATTTGACCTTCAGGGCCTCTGTAGTGCTGCTGATTCTCGGAATGTTCTCCCTCATACACTCAAATACCCCGATCTCTTACTTCAGATCTCTGTATGAATGTTATCTCCTCAGAAAAGAGATCTTAAAAATGAGGGGCGAG